GCTAGCCACCCTCAGCATGCTCCTTCCTTCATCTCTTCCTCCCCTCCTTTTCCTGAACTCTTTTGCAACACTACAAAGGCAAATGGAAAGAGCAGAAGAGCAAATATTTGTGAAATGTTTATATCTAAAAGATTATTTAGAATATGTGGGGGAAGCAGTTTAGAAATTCTTAAGAGACTAATTCTCCCTTTTATGAACCTAGATGTATTTCCCAGGGTCTTCATTTTCAATACCCAAAGTTTTATACCTAAATCAAACATTACACCCAAACAATACATGGGGCCAAAAATGACCTAATGAAACCAACTCACTTTCACAGATGAAAGTGAGGAAGGAGTACATCTGATTTCACACAAAACGGTCACCTGGATAAAAGGTGCAGTCAGTGTTGGAAACAGCAGGAGTTCATATAAAGAGGAACTCCAGCACAAATGTAGCACAAATGCTGTTTGCACACATGCTGAGCATTGTCATAGCTCTGTCCCAATTCTCACCATCAAAAGACCAAGTTTATAGTTCTCAGAAGATGTCAGCACTTCATTTGAATTTTTTAAATTATGAAATATTCTGCAAAGTAAAAATAAAACAAAAACCTATACACCTAAAGTCAAACACAAGAAATAAAACGTTAAAACTACAACAAATTCCCTCTCTCTACCTACCCCAGATCCCATTTTCCCTCCCTCCCTCCCTCCTACAAAGAAAATTTCTGTATTAAATTTGAGGTTTGTCATTTTCATTAATATTGTTGTTTATTCTGTCTGTTCAGGCCATAAACAATATATAATATTGGTTTGCATGTGTTAAGCTATAAAATGGAATCAAACGCTGTGTGCTTATACAATTTGCTTTTTATCTTTCAATGTAATATCTGTGAGACTCGTCTGTATTGATATATGTACTGTTTTATTCATTTTTGCTTCTGTAGAATATTCCATCGTATGAGTTACATCGATATTTCATATTTTTAACAGTTTGTATTGTCATCCATTTGTGTTTTTACCTTTTATGGTTTTCAAATTTTTCACTATAACGATGCTGCTGTGCACATTTTTGTGCTCGTATGGTTGCATATTCCTAATATATATATACCCAGGACTGGAATTACTGGACCACATACAATTTCAATTCTACTGTATATTGTTAAATTGATCTACAAAGTAGTTATTCCATAAATGTATACTCCCACAAGCACTGGATGAGAGTCCCTAATTTTAATTTTCTGGCAACGCTCTAGGAATTCTCTAGCAAAGCTTAGCCAGCACATCGCTTAAATGAGAATCACAATGAATGGCATTCTTCTGGTATAAAATGTCACTCGATGCTCCATTGCTAAAGTTGGATCTTACAGTCTCTGAACCTTTTAAGGAAAGATAACTTGGGTAGGTATTATTGGAGTGTAGATATTTTTAAAATTCCAAAAGCATTTTACAAATAAGTAGAACATGAATTTAATGATGGTAGTTGGGTCCATAGGGATAACATTTATAGAATAGTTTTAGTGATGAATTTTGACTCAGGCAAGTAGGCACAGGATTAAAAATACCCATTCTGTTTAGGCATTAAATTTAATCGTTGGAATAAACTCCACCAAATGCAAATACTTTTTTTAAGCCAGAGAAGAAGAAAGGAGTAAAACTGCCCATGTGTGAAAGTGAAGGAATCTCTGGCTAGTGCTGGATGGGTCTGGGGTCTGATGGGCATCTACCCAGACCATGAAAGTTAAAAGTTAACAGCATGTTTAATTCTTTTTGATTAAAATTGATGTGTATTTCTGAAGGTGGGCAATTGTGCATATAAGTCACAGCATAAAACCAGCCCTCAGGTTCATGAGGGAGAAAACGTCATCCCTTTGTTTATTTCTTCACTCTCTCATTCAAAAAAATTATATTTGTGGAGAACCTTCTACGCGTCTGTTATTTATGCAGGCACAGTGGTAGGCCAAGGGAGATGTCTGTGCATGCAGAAATTGATGTGAATAAACACAAACAATACTGTTTTCTTGCATGCAGATCTCTACTAAGGTGTCTCTGTGTCCTGAGACGTCTCCTTACAAGAGAATTGACATTGCTATTGGCTGACTGAGGGAGAGAAACAGGATGAAACACCCTAGAAACCAAAAGACTCAACCACGTTGGGATTTATGGAAGCCAGCCTCCAACACGACCTCCTCCTGGTATTCACACCCTTGCGTAGTCCCCTCCCACACTGAATACACACGAGTAACATATGGCATATGGAAAATACAGGCGTGTGACTCCCGAGGCTCTGTCATAAAGGACACTGCAGCTTCAGCTCGCTCTCTTGGATCACTTTCTCTGGAGGAAGCCAGCTGCTGTTTTGTGAAGACACTCAAGCAGCCATCCAGGGAGACCCACAAGGCAAGGAACTGAATCTTCCCATCAATAGCTAGCCCCTACGAGCTAGCCGCATGTGGACCACCCAGGAAGTGGGTCCTCCAGCCCTGGTCAAGTCTGCAGGTGACAACAGCCCCAACTGACATCTTGATTACAACATCAAGAGGGCCTCTGAGCCAGAACCACTCACTTAAGCTGGTCCTGAGTTTCTGATCCATAGCAACTGTGGGGAATAACAAATGTTTATTGTTGTGTGGGGCTGTTAAATTTTAGGTAATTTGTTAGGCAGCAATAGATAACTAATACAGGGCTGGAAAGAGAAAATGAGAGTGATTCTTTCTCCCTTTCTCCAAAACTGTAACAATGCTTCTCTTTATTTTTTTTATTTAAAAAATAAATAAAACAGTCTCCCACAGAGAAAAACATCTGAGACACCAGCCTCAGGGAAAAGCTAGTATAGTAAAAAGGAAAAAAAAAGTGTCACCCAAAATGAGTTTCTTTATTCTCTTATTCAACAAATATTCATTGAGTGTACCATATGTCAGAAACTGTGCTGAGTTAGAGGACTACAAACATGCGCAAGAGCCATGAGTGCTGCCTCATGGAATTTACTTTATAACCAGAGATGCACAATAATCGAGTAAACAAATAATGAAATTCTTATAAATGCCGTGAGTCCACCAAAAGGAGTGCTGCAGTATGAGTGGGGGGAGTAGAATCTACTTTAGATAGTGTGGTAGGCAAGGCCTTTCCGAGGAGATGACATCTAAACCAAGACTTGAAGGACAGGAAAAAACAGTCATTGAAAGAAAGGTGGGGAGGGCAAGCCAGGGAGAAAGAATGGCATATCCAAAGGTCCTGAGGTACAGAGACACAGCAAATGAACTGAAGAAGCCAGAATGACAAGCCAGGTGTGAGGAGGATAGTAGCATGAGGGGAGATGGAAGCTTATCTATTTTTCTTCAACATTCTAGGAAAAATAGATCATCATGAGAAGGCAGACTATAAAAATTCTGCTCACACACAATGCCTGTAGACGGGCCCTCTCCTTCACACCGAAAGACATATAATTTGAGAGAAGAAATGGGATCAAACCACACACCAAACCTGAACACTGAGAACCTGCTGACTCCTCACTCTTCCAAGCCCCACGCAGAGGTCCTCCTCCCTTTGCCAGGACATCTTGCATTTCTGGACCTACAATATCGATGCACAGCCCTGTCAATGGTCTCTGCACCTACAATGGCAGAGTCCAGTCTTAAAGCTGGAGAAACGTACAAGAATATGTATACATCTCAAAAGACAAAATCTGAGGGAAAACCTAAGGCATATTGGATTTAACAATTATTAGAGACATAAAAAGTTTTAGTTGGAAAGTTTTTGGCGCTTCTCAGGGGATTATGTGACAGCTTTAGAGTTCGAAGACCAAGTTTCCTGAAAGTTCAGACTTAAAATTCTGTTTCTGTGTAAGACCTTTCCGACTCTGTTTGCTGAAGAAAGAGAGTGTGAAATGTAAAGCCTTGAAGTCACACTGTAACATTGCTGGCTAGCCAGGTGTTGAGGGACCTCATGCTATTTACTTAGCCGCGTCGTAATGCCCTTTCCAATCCCAAATTCATTCTTGCCATTAGATTATTGAAATGGGACTTGGGAGATATACAGTCTATTTCAACAAACAGCAATCTGGTTCTTCCTCTACACATTCAGGGGAGGGAAAAAAAATCACCCTGCCAACTGGTACACAGGCTATGTGCGTGGAAGCTGCAAGGATTCTAACCACCACAAGGACACCAGGGTATTTTAATATATACAACGCAAAGTGTCAGAAGAAGCATCTTATGAGGGATTTAACCTGTTCATTTGAAAGAGCACGGCAGGAACGGTCCCATGGGGCTCACCTCCAGGGCAGACAATGTTTTCACTCTGTAAAGAATCCCACTTGATGAGAATCAATCTCTGTGCTTGGTCTTGACTACAAATAGTTCATTACAAGCTAAGGAAAGGGCCATGGCAAGTCCATTTTGCCTTATTCCCAGCTGTAATGGTCCCATCTTCCTCCAGATAAGAAAAGCTCACACTCTTTTGATGTAAAAGAATGTGTCACGCAATTAAAAAGCTGGAAATCGTACGTTGAAATTTATAATTACTGAGGAACAGGTGTCTTGCATTTTTTAATCCTGATGCTGGTTTACAGCAGGACAAGCATGCCCTTTGTGCTGTCCTCTCCTCTAAACTCCTCCAAACACTCCCACTGAGGCTGCTGTCCCTAGAGAATGCCTAACGTGCCACAGTGTGGCCTCCCGGAGACACGGATCCTCTCCTGGGCCCAAATTAGAAAACCTTGACCAGGACAAGAAGAAACAAATGCACCGTCAGCCATGGGCTATTCCTGTCCCTGCAGTTGCTGCCATCCTCAGAATGGGGAGAGCCACACTCATGTCTGAAGCCCCTAAAACAGGCTTGAAAATAGGGTCCCTCTGTCCCTATGATTTCATCCAGTGTTATCCATTTTACTTTGGAGGGTGGTATTACTTCTTTTCCTTATTGAACTTTTTATTAAAGTATAACATACATTCAGAAAAGCGCAAAAACCTTAAGCGCACAGCTTGATGAGTTATCACAAAGGGAATAGATCCACGTAACCCCTTCGCTCTCCATCACTAGCCCACCCTTCTCGCAGAGCTAACCACCATCTGCCTTCAAATGCCACCAGTTAGTGTCACTTGGTTTTGAACTTTATTTGAGTAACATCATACAGTAGATATTTTTTCACCTGAGTTCTTTAACTCAACACGACGATGTGAGATTGATCTGCATAGAACTATGTACCTGTGGTCTGTTCATTCTTATCTCTGTGTAATATATCATCAGATGAATGCATCGTACTTTACTCGTCCTTTCTAGTGTGGATGGACATTTGAGTTGTTTCCAGTTTTGTCCTATTATGAATAATGTTGCTAAGAATGTTTACATACATCTTTATGCACATGTGTAGATGTTTTTGTAGGGCATATACCTAGGAGTGGAATTACTGGCTTTTAAGATATACACATATTTAGAATTTCTTCTTAACATTTTTGCCCTGGAAGACATTTTGCACTTTATTTCCCAGAAAAGTATCAACTCCCAAAAGACCCTTCCGCAGGATTTTTTTGGAGCTACACTAAGTACTGTAGGATGACAGTGGGCTGCCATACGGTCATTGTCTTTCGGGGCCTTCTCCGAAGGTCACCAGAGGCGCTCCTGAGCAGAAGTCGCACCAGCAGGTGAGCGTCCTCCTCCACCTCAGCCCCTCTTCTTGCGGAAGCATCCAGACTGCGCGCCCTTCTGTGCCCCCGTCTGGGATTTCCTGTCCCCTTCATCTTCCACTCTTGCCAGAATCACATACTACGGTATCAGAATTACACAATGAAGCAAGCTCTGAGCAATTTTAATCACTATAAATGTCCTTCCTTGAGAAACCTTACACCCCCACCGCCAAGGGAAGCAGCATGCTAACCATGTACAGAATCACGCTGACTCCGTTTCCACGTGGCTCACCATCTCCCTCAGAAGACAGGATTCCTAAGCTCTGGCCCCAGCTTGCCCAGGATGTGGCATGACCTCTAACAAGGTAACTCTAAGAGCAAAAGCAGAAAAATAATACCAGTCTCCTACTTACGCAGGGATGGGATTTATTGAGTGTTAAAGAAATAATACAGATTAAAAACTTAGTGATGAAAGGAGTATAAATATCCCCAAAAATCAGTCATCTTATTATCCCTTCCTGGTCCTTTAGCGAGCTTGTACATGTTCTTAAGAGGGAGCATTTCAGAAGCCTTCCGCAGTACCTCACGATCCCCAGCTGGTAAGTTAATTATTTTTAACTGGAAATCTCTTCATTCATCCCCGTTAGTCTTATATTAAGAACAACTGATGACTATTTTCTTAATAGTGACACTTTATGTAATTAAATTGCTTTTAAGCCACCATTTTTCCTTCCTTTGACTAAATAATGCCAAAGCCTTAATCTTTACGGAATGGCTTCTAATAGGCAATTCTCTTCTCATTGCCGTTCTTCTCATCTAGCCATCCAAGTTTTTCCTAGTTCTCGAATTTTGGTGCGCCAAACTGTCTTGGGTCACAATTATAATCGGCCAGCACCAAAAGCCATAGCATTCTTTCATTCGTTGACCCGTCCAAGGAATACTTGCTTTGAGCTTATTATGAGATGGGAGCTTGAGATTCAGTGTAGGACCAGATGTATGAGTCCTTGAGATCATAGAGCTCACTTCCTAAATACATTAGAAAACAAATTAAAGATATAAAACTTATAAAGGCTATGAGGAAAATAAAACCTAATGCTGGCCTAAGGAATGATCAAGATAGCAGCTGCTTAAGATAGCATGATTGGGGAAGGTCTTTCTGAAGACCTTGGACTAAAATCTGAATGATCTTAGGAGGCAGCCACGAAAAGACGTGTGGAAGGTGCTCCAGGCAAAGGAGGCAGCAGTGGCAGGCCCTGAGTTGGGAAGGTCAGTGTGACTGCAGCATGCTCTGGAAGGGAAAGGAGTAGTGAGGGGACCCCTGAGGAGGCAGTTGTGGACCAGATCAAATCCAGCTTGGTTGGCTTTCGTTCATCTTTCAAGTTCTATAGGTAATGATTCTTTTAATGAATGATCATACGCATAAGTTTTCTCTGGTTAGTAAATGCCAGGAGGGTGAGCCTATCACTATTGTGCTCTCTTTTCCACTTTGTGGTTCCCAGGCCTCGCAAGGTCTCTCTGCCCTCAGCATCGCTAGCGTCTTAGTAGTTCCTTTCTGTTTTTCAGCCCTTCTTCTTCTGAAACATAACTTTTGAATGGATCATTTTTTACAAGCCAAGATTGAATTCTACCATAACTGAAGAGCTGAGACACAATCCACACAGTTTTTCTCAGGTACTTATCCTTCCCTCAGCCAATAGGAAGCCGTAGTTAAGAGCTTAGGTGTAGACTGCATCAAAACCAGGCTCTATTTCTGTTTTTGACACTTTTCCTGTGTGTAACTAGCACATTACTTTACCTTTCTGACTTTTTGATCTGCAAAGTGAAAATTATATACCTACCTCAGAGCTGTTGTGAGGATTCATGGAGCTAATATACCTGAACCCTCAATAGATGGCCATTAATAATAACGGTGCTGTTCAAAAATCAAAAACCATAGAACTTTGCAGTAAAAAGAGATGTTGAATCTTACCCCACTTATTCCTCTCATTTTGTATTTAAGCCTCTCTGAAGCTAAAATAGTTGTCAGTGGTTGAATAATTAGTTAGAAGTAAGCCAGATCTCCCTAGTCAATCTTACAATAGAGGAATAATTCAACTATTCACCTCTTGTTTTAAGTTTGAGGTTAGGATTTATGAACTATGTAATGATTATCTGAATAAATCACAAATACAGTGTGATTCCTGATGGGGCCAATTGTGATTAAAATAATGTGTGGTTTACTAAATGCTACTTGTTAGGGCTTCAGAGATTCAGAACCATGAACACTACTTTTTATTCAATTTATTAAGTGGGAAAAGTCAATAGGATGATGTGATTTCCATATAGATCTCATCCACCAAATGTGGACTATAATTTATAGACAAAGCTCAGACAAGGAAATAAATTGCAGGTGATAGAAGAGCTTTGGTAAGCAGATTATTGGGCAAAGTGGATATGTCAACTAAGGGCTAAAATCTAGAGAAGTAGCTGTTGGTGCATGGAATTATGTGCAGGCCACTTTTATTTAAGTGCCTGTCATTGGCAAGTTTTCATGTAGTTATCACACAGACATGAACTGAGCTATGTATGCGTACGGGAAAAAAGTCCTGAACTTTAAGTGAAAGTTTAACAAGTGGCCTTTTACATGAACTCTGCATATTGTACTTATATCTAATCCATATTGTTGGCTTTTAAAATTATTTTGTTATTTATTTATTTATTGTGTAAGCAAACCACAATCACAGAAGAAAAATAGGAAATATAGATAAGCAAAAGGAAATTCACTCATAATTTTGCCACTCAGAAATAACTATTAACATCTTGCTGTTTACACACACACGTTAATTCTTCACACATCCAAGTTCATTCTTATTTTACCTAAAAAGATATATCCAAGGGAAGTGATACAAACTTTTAAACCTAATATAGTGCTTCATTATACCAAGAAAGTGATTCTCACAAATGAAAAAGACATTTCCTATGAAGAACTTCAAATTTTCACAATTATTGTCCACTCTATACTGAATGAACCAACAATCCTTTTCTTCAGGAATGCATAAGGGATTTATGACAGCACATTCCATTCTAATTCAACAGAACTTTACTAAACACCTTTAATGATCCCAATATTTGGGGAAATACAAAATAAATATCTATGATGTTGAGAAACTGCACCTGCAAGGAACACACATCAACTCAATTACTTGGGCAAAATGATTGGTAGGAGGCAAGAAATGCATGTTGAGTTTCTGGTGCTTACGAGGCCAATGTCCCTCTTATTTGAAGTTTTCACTATGAAGTGAGAATAACATGATCTGTCTCCCCCCTTCCTCACAAGAGGAAAGATCGCTAAAACCCTTTACACATTTTGCGTTCTCAAGACTTTTTTTGTTTGCTATCGCTTACCTTTTGTTACAGTCTGCTGAATCCATGGCATTCCTCAGTTGCTTTGCAGATACAGACTCAACTGAGAAGGCAAATTTTTAAATTTCAAATATCTTTTGACTTGCCAGAAAAGAAAGACAATTAAGCAGCCACCTTTAATCTATTTTTCCATTTTACTCTCATTTGATTTTCTTCTAACTTGCTTCAGTGTTTCTTCTATGTCAGTTGGCTTCATTTCTATGGCAGCCCTGTTAAGAGGGCTTGTGCACGACTCCTCCCTTTGCCTGGAAGCCTCGTCCCCCTCACCTGTTACCTCCTCTCTTCCTGTTCTCAACCCAATCGCCCTTTCCCCAGGGAGGACCTCGCTGATGCCCACAAGCTTTTCCAACTCCACGTTCTCATAGCCACATTTATAGCCTCTTTCAAACACTCATCTCAGTTATACCTTGATGTTTATTTGGGTGATCACTCACCAGTGTTTCTGTCCCTCACCAGATTGTTAGCTCAGGTTTTTACTCACAACTGTATCTGCAGCATCCAGCACAGTGCGTGGGACACAGTAGGTACTTAATAAATGTTTGTTGAATAAAATTCCCTGAGACCCAAAAGGCTTTTTTTTTAACCTAATTTGATTGTCTTTCTGATCTTTTTTCAGTACTCTGTACAAAGTGTTGCGTGTGCTAAATGCATGGCACTCAGTAAGTAGACACTAGGGAACTCCACTACACATTTGCATTAATATAATTTTTTCAAAATCATAAATAATATCTTTTTTACCCATTCCATGTCTAAAGTGAGTAGTTCATCAACAAAAACAGGTTGTTCTAAACCTGGCTCAGTTAATCGGCAATATTACAACAGGCGCTGTATATTGCACTATCACCAAAATAGGAGCACAGAATAAATCTATACTCTGTCTGTGGCTTATGGAGAGACCCTACACCTGAGAAATAAGAATACCAAGTTAGCTCACGGCCCTGGTTAAAACAGGAATCCGAAAATTCTAATAAATCTTGTTGTCACTTATTCACTTGCTAATTGACACACTTATTTTTTAAATTGACTTTTTAAAAATCATCTTGCTTTTCCTTGTGGTTTCAAATAGAATTCGTTTAATTGATGCAGTTACATGTTATTATCCAAAGTTATCTATTCATCATAAACTTTGAGCATCTAATATGCATCAGCCGTAACACTGTGTCATCACAATTAAAGAAATCCAGCCCAAACAGGAGTTTCCACATTTCGTTCACTTCTCTCTCTCTAAAACATCAAAGAACTCCAAGAACTTTGTTCACTACAACTCATTACAATTTCCTGTCGTCTCTCATTCTCTAGTGCTGCAAAATTCCCAAGTCTCTCCCTTTCTCCCTTCTACCCCTAGAGACCTCCTCCCTGTCCAGCTGTCTTGGTCCCCCACCCCCATTCGGTGTCCCCCATAGCACACTCCAGAAAGTTCTCACCTGCCTTCCAATGTAACCCTTGAGCGATGGGGGTCTTTGTTTTGATTGCTTTCCTCACAGGAACTACTCAGAAGATTTTCTCTTCCATCCGAGGACAAAAGGTGAAGGGGGAAGCTGTGAATCTACATACATAAAAATTTTTCACATCACAATTATAAGCATTCAAAACTCACCTCCTTTGATAAATAATCAGAAGCTCTTAGCATGATCTAATTCTCCAGGGCTATACCTGGTTGCCAAAGAAAGGGCAGGGGGTGTGCATTGTCAATGAGACTGTGTGTCCTTGTAGGGGGCGTGTGTGTGCAAATGCAGAGGCTTTCTATCCCAGAGATCCACAGATCAGGCAGAACTGAGGGAGGGGAGAGGAAGGGACAGTGGCATCAAAGGGAGAGCATAGCAATGAGTGCAGTGGTCAAAGTGAGTCCCTGTGGCCTCTCTTTCCAGGTCCCCAGCCCCTTTCTCCCATCACCTTTCCACTGCAGCACACACAGCCATGGACATTTTGGGAAGTGCAGTGACATCATCTTTCAAATTCGTATCCTAAATCTTGATATCATGCTTCATTTTCTGAGGGATAATGGGAAGTAGTCTTCCTAATCTTCTCCTACTGTCCTTGAATCTACACTCGGCTTGAATCTTTCTGAAGTTCCGATAGCTCCTTTCTTACCTATCTGAACAGTAGCCAACCCAGACGTGCATTCATATGTGCATAAAGAATTACACAGATTTGTGTGGGTATATTTACATATGTGGTATCAGACTATACATCATATTCTGCAACTTGCTGTTTTCATGTCTTAGAGATCTTTCCAAATCAGTATATATTGACCTACCTCATTATTCCATAGAATTATATAGAAAAAACATGTACCATGTCACTTTCACTGACGTTTTATTGATAGGCATTGATGTTGTGATCTTTTTCCTATTAGAAACAGTGCTGTAGTAATATCATTGTACTGGCTCCTGGTCCCTAGGAGTGAGTCTTTCTCTATGGTTAGTGTTTCTCAAATCTGGCTTCACATTAGAATCATCTGGGGAAATTTTAAAAGTACTTACTGCCCATGCTCCCCTCTTCTCCCCCCACCAAACCAGTTAACAGAATCTCTGGGAGTGGATCCCAGGCATGGGTATTTAATAATCTCCACAAATCACCACTAATTATGAAGAACTGGAATTGCTGAATTGAAGGGTACATGCATTTTACATTTTGAACTCATGTTGTAAATAGTTCCGTTTTATAAATTGCTAATTATATGGTGTCATTACTTCCTCTGCTCTAAGTTAGTTTATCAGGAAATCTAAAAGTATAAACCAAGTACCAGAAAAGGATCTCCTTCTAGGCTGAAATGGCAGCATCTTGGGGATTCCTACATAAAGAGGGTGTCCACTCCACCTCACGTAATTATTTTCATGACACTCACTTTGTTTTCCTTGTATTCCTTGTGACAATTTGCAATCATTTCATCTAGTAAATTGTTATCTTTCACAGCCCTCAATCTTCAACAGAATTCCAAGAGAACAGGAACCATGTCCATCTTGTTCACTAAGTAACCCTAACGCCTGTTATAACAGGGCCCTGCAGATACTAGGTGGTCAATGTGTGTGGAGTAACTAAATCCCCGTGGTTGCCTGGTCAGTGGTTAAGCATGTTATCTGTCATAAGGACCAGGGAAACGATGGGGGAATACTGGTTTCTTCCATGCCCAAGCCCAACATTTCTAAATAGAAAACAAGCATTTTATCTTAGCCAAAAAGAACCTAAAAACTTACATTGTCATACAAGAAACAGATAAATGTATGGTGAATCTTGACCATGTGGTAAAAAAGAAAACCACAAAGGGATTAGAAGATAGAATATGATGAGCCACGTTTAGCAATGAGTTTTCCCCTCCTCTACCATTCCCGTGTGCCCTGGTGAGCATCTAAAAAAACTCATACAGCACATAGTACAGTTAAGCGTGCGAACACTTACTTGGAAGATCTGGGCACAGAGCGTGTCATCTGTCACCGAGAGGAGAATTCCTCAGCTGTTGCTCTTCTTGCACCGACAAGTAAGTCTTGTCACACAGTCCTATAAAAAGGGGGGGTCAAGAGAGAAATTTCATTTTTATTGTGATTATCATGTTAAATTACTCAAGATCACAGTTTCAGAAAGCCACCACATTCTTCCTTCTCCACAGATCATTTCTGTGTGTAACTAATAATGCCCAACGACATAGGCACTGTATCCAACAGGACTAACCATTTCAAAAAAGGCCAAAAGGCCTCAGTGCTACAAACTGGGACCATGTTTAGACCTTCCTTCTATAACTTATCTGACCAAAACACAAAGAAGACTGACTATGGAGAAGTGAGGTCTCGCACCTCTCTTCTTTGAAGTTTCGGGGTGAATTATTTTTAATTTTTTTAGTTCCTCGGTTTTTTAAAAATAATTTTTGATTTTAGAATACTTTTAGAATTACAGAAAAGTTAAGGGAGTTTTCATGTACTCCACACCCCATTTCCTCCATTGTTAATGTCTTAATTTAGTGTGATCACTTTAGTATTTGTCACAACTAATGGACCAATGTTGACACATTGTTACCAGCTAAAGTCTATGCTATATTCAGATTTCCTTAGTTTTTGCCTAATGTCCCTTTTTTATTCTGGTTTTCCATCTAGGATACCACATATTTACCCACTATGTTTCCTTAGGCATCTGGAGGCAGTGACAGTTTCTCAGATTTTCCTTGTTTTTGATAATCTTGAAACGCTCCTACAGCCACCTGGCCAAGGTTAGTGTCAACAGTCGTGTTGTCTCGATAGCCTGTGCCCGGATATGATACGAATGGCACTCTGCCTTGGTGGTTCCTACCGTTCAAGTAGAAAGTTCTACACCAACATATTTCCTCTGTGAATTCATAAATCCATGATATATATTTGGTAGCACAAAGGTATTTAAATATGCAGTGAGATCAAGCCACAGACCCCTTACTATGAAATAAAGTGTTCCTCTTTCAAGTTGTTTTGCTCAGAACACAGAAGGCTCTTTTACTTCTAAACCTGTCGTGGATTTTAAGGCATTCTGTACATGGAGCAAAGTATTAATGTAGGCTGTGAGTTAAAGCAAGAGCATAGTCATCGCTCAGCAATTGCAGAAAACCCCCATCTATACTTTAATAGTTCAAAGGAAAACAGTTGGACAAATTTCTATTTACAGAAATAGTGTTTCTATTATAAAACACATCATTATCTTTTTAATTCTTTTCTCTTTATTTAAACTTGAGACAAGTGATATACTTCGATAAAATACGTTCAGATTCTCATGGCTGCCTTGTCTGTGAGCAGCTGTTTCACGTAATGCCTGAGTCCTTGGGGTGGCAGCACCGGGGAGAGAGCCAAACCAAAGCTTCTCCAGAACACACGTGGATAAAATAATCCAGCAGGTCAGGCCACCACGGGAGGTAGGAGACTGATTAACTGTGGGTCAGTTGTGACTTCAGTGAATTATTGCTAATATAAGAGTCTCCATCTCTCTGAGCTGTGATTTATAGAGAGCAGGGGCGACCTTCCCCAAGTTGGGGAATGTTTTCATTGTCAAATCCAAAGGAAATAGCTGATAAATCTACATCTTTAAACACAACTTAAGTCACAATTAGAATATATGTGTGTATTTACACATATGCATGTATAAACACATATGTATATATGTATGTATGTATGTGTGTGTGTGTATATACATGCTGTTATATATGTATTGCATAAGTATGCTCTTTTAAAATCCCAAACCAGCTGCTGGGTTGTTTCTACGAATTAATAACTACTCATTAATTAAATATCTCAAAAGTTAAAAGAACAGAAGTGAGGCTGGAACATTGGTTAATCTCATGCTTCTTACTATGAGAGTGTAGCTTGGCAAGTGGAGGAAGCCAAGGACAGAAAAGGAAAAACTTTCAAGCTACTCACCAAAACTTACAACATATTGATAAAGTCCTTTTCTCTCTTTATCTTTCTGGTCATTTAGGTAAATTTAAAATTTATCTTATCTCCCTAGTATGGTTAAAAAATCTAGGTGATAAATAATTAGGCTTAATGCCATTTAGGAAGTGAAAGAAAGAAGTATTTACTTTGATCGAAAGTTACTTTACTATTAGAAAAGTTGTTTTGCAAGAAGGTAAATCTTGCTGTCATTTCCATCCCATTTTATATTTTTCTAAATTATAGAAAGAGAATTAAGTTATAGGAAGTAGTTTTAAATTAGTTTTGTTTAACATACAGTTCACTACAATTGAAAAAGAGAGAGAGAGCCAGAGCTTGTGCTCCCTAGAAGGACAGCCACTTTAAGACTTGACGGGCTTTCCTTATACGTCTGCTTTTTATTTTTAAACACCAGCACCTCTTTGCTGACCAACATTTTCTTGCAAATTATGGCAAGGGTGGGAAGAGCTTGAGCAAAGGAGCTGGATGGAAGCTGGTGACTCTCACTGCCAAAATTCCAGGTTGAAATCAAATCCTTTAGTAAAGTTTCTTAGGCATGGAAAAAAAAGATTTACAACTTCAACAGAATTGTAATTCTACCAAGAAAAAGTGTCAGTCAATCTCTGTTACTGTCACCAAAGGATCTGAAGCTGGCTTTATTCTATTTCTTTCTCTTTTATATATGGGGTGGGGGAAAAAAATAGCAACAGGAGTTTAAAAAAATTGATGAAGCCCTGACCCTTTAGATTCCATTTATAGTCTGAGCCGGAATGCCATCCCCCTTGACTAGTGAACTGTCCAATCCAGCCGCATGTGTCAAGATTCTATTAGGCACTAAGTGAAATATATATGCATGCCCTTATACCATTTAACAGTCTGGGTCCACCTTCAAGACACTGGGCTGTGGATCAACCGAACCACCACTCCTCTTCCAAAAATCATTTTGACAGGTTCTTTTGGAGGTGCTCCTTCTCTTTTTTTAACCCATCCTTTTAAACAAAATGGCACCAAAGAAGGACGTGAAGAAACCAGCGGCGGCTGCTGCCCCAGCCCCTGCCCCGGCCCCTGCACCTGCACCTGCACCTGCTCCAGCCAAACCCAAAGAAGAGAAAATTGACCTCTCTGCCATTAAGGTAACTAAACAGGTGAATTGTTTGGTCACTGAAACGTCTTTCAACAGGAGGGGACTCTAGAAACTTGTAAAGGAGTCTGTTTTTCATTGAGAGGAACAGCAATACTAAATGAACTCGTAGATTTGGAGAGAAGAGAGTTCTGATTAGAAAATAAACTCTAGCATATAATTTCAGTAAAATTACTGAGTATGCTCTTGTATGTGGAACTTATATTTTACTCTATTTTTGTTCTCTAGTTTCCTTTTTTCCCTGAATTGTCAAAGTGCAATTTAGGGGGAAAGTATATAAGTACAAAGTGTGTAACTATAAAGATGTTTTAGAAATACTTAAACCAGTGTTGTTTTTAATAAAGTCTCCGTGGAAACTGGCTCCCTCACCTCAAAGCTACATCAAAAGGAAAGTTTGAGCCCCTACCTGTTTCCAGAGGTTTAAAAGCAGCTGATGACCCAGTTGTCCTGGATGTATTTATTCAACAGCTGCTTTATTTCATCTGAAAAAGAGAAGATTTTGCAATTCAAGTTACTTCCCCCTTCAGCTTTGCTCGATAAAATTTGATACAGCAGTAAATGAGATCTCAGTGCAGACAATTAAGCACTCAAGCGTTTCAGTGACTATAACTGTCATCTTGTTTATTTATATGCAGTATTTAATTCAGAATATGTGAGTTGCTTCTAAATGACACTAACCGAAAAAATATGGTAAAACTTGTTGGTTATGTGGCTTTTAGCTATGTCTTTGAGCTCTTGCATACTGATCTTGAACTAAGGAGAATGTGATTGATTTTTGTGTCAACACTTTGCTGTGATCAAGGTTCTCAGCTGCCGAAAGATTATCTGCTTTTGGAAAAGTGACGCACTGAGTGTGCCTGTTCCCCTCAGTGACGTGACCCATCACACGTGAACCTTCTCCTCACTCCCTGGCCTCTCATTGGCCTGAAGGACAGTTTGAAAATCTTCATCTCAACAACCCTGCCTTATATGGAAAACTAATGGGTAAAAATGCCCATGAGGTGATCTTTTCACTTCAGACAAATGTTCTGTATGTAATAAAACTGAATTTTGCTAACTTAACACTATTTACTGGCAATGACAAAGCTGACCTACAAATATTTTATTGGCTGTCTTAGTATGCTTGTAGCTTTTTAAAAATATTCCTGACATAAATATTGCATTAGATTACTGTTAGATATAAGTGATGAAATTAAATAAATATATTCATAATTTTCACAGCATTCCAGTTAAATATGACACTTTATGTTTCAAAGTAGGAGTAGATCATCATAAATATTTTGTTTTGAGTTTTAGGTAGCTGAAGTCGTATTTGAAAAAAGTTGGTCATAGAATCAATATTGGTTTGGAACTATTCTTGATAAATATCCACTCAGGAGAAGAAATGTCTGTCAGATCTTCTAATAAATGTTTTTCTACCTTGAGAACTGCATGCATACAATTCATTAAGAGGAAACCAAGTTTTTCATCTCCAGCAACCCTAATTAATGTATCTTTATAGATGCATGCTGATTGCATTATACAACGAGCGTGATCCCAGCCCTCCAATAATTCTGGTTGTTTCTATTCTTTGACTCTCCAGTCATACTAACATTAGAGATATAAATCAGTGTCAAAGCTGTTCCTCTTTCTATTTATTATGATTTATAAGACAACATCATCTCTTTGTATCTGGGACTACAAGCATCTGGAAAGGAAAAAGCAATGTCTTAAGAAGAAAAAGAAGTGTCCTACCAATGAAAACAGGCATTAATTGTCTTCCCTGAGGAATCATGTAAGAATAAGTAAATAAATAAAAATTTAGTTTGGCAGGTGAGAAGTCTCCAAGGAAAGACAAAACATCACTTTTTTCATCCAGAAATTAAATCAATTACTTACTCACAGTCAACAGAGAAGTTCCGCTTTTCTGAATCTTGAAAATTGGTTTCTCCTTCCATCTATATGTTGAATTAATACCAGTACAAGCTGGTACAACTAAGCTAAAGAAGGAAATACTCTTAGAGAGCCTCCGTAAAGATGAGATACACTCCACTATTTCATTGCAGAAGGAGAGCTATGGATCCCGGTATGGGACACAAACCAAAAAGGAGAAATCAAATGAATCTAGAAGAAACAGAAGGAAATTAATCTTTACCTTTCATTCAGAGAGCCCATTCCTAATAGAAAGAGAAAAAAAGAAAAGAACAGAATTGAAACTAACTTATTTTAGTAAAGAAATTTAAATACTTTCAATGATTTGCGTTCATCAACGTGAAATCAGTGCATATTTTATAGTATTATAGCCAAAGAATGTGATGCAACTTGAGAACTTTATAAAATTTAATTCCATCCCAGTAGGTAACAGGGCTAATTAAAATGTACATTAAAACATTTCATATCATGATGCTTTTAATCTCTTAATTATGTTTCTAGATATATTACCTCATATAAGTTATAAACTTTTTTCAAGCAGAGAAAATGAACTTTAAAGAAATTAATAGAGCTGTTATATGTGTTCATTAACTTTCTGAAAACTCGATAAAGAACAAAACTTAATTGGATTTTAAACTTTCTTTCATAAATCATATAAGATTAGAAAGCTAGCTGTCCTTTAGACTTTGAGTAATGCTGAAGTTTAAGTGTGACTATCTTTGTGTAGTACTATAGTCAGAGCAATAGTCATATTTAATGCCTCAAAACTGTTCACAGATATTGCCTATGTTCCATCTAATAATATATCATGTTTAATAGCCGTATATTTAACTCCCCATAAATTCTGAACAATCTTGGATAGATTAATTAGTTTTATCAGTTTCTTAAATGTGCTTCCCAATTTGATTTCCTGGTTTGTTGGTTATTTGTTTAGAACATTTCTTCAGCTGTTTTGATATAAAAACCTTTGATATTCTCTGAGGGAATGCTTACCTGATGTCTCATTTCCATGGATTTTCTATAAGTGTTCTTTTCAAAGACACAAATATTGTTGATATTTGAACACTAAAGTTCCTGTTCTGAGTGGTTCTAAGTGCCCTTTGCTTTCAGAGACCTGAGACTTTGAGCTGCAATACCCAGACTAAAAGAACACTACCTGACAGGATCTCAAGTGTAGGAATTAAAACCCACCATGAGTGTGGTTATAGGTGCAAACACAAGAATTAACACTGGTTGCCCAAAACCGCACCAAGGGAAATACCAGAAGTTAGTAAGTAATGAGATGACCGTGTGCCTGGATTTTAAAAAGATCTTCCAGGTGTAAGTGAATTTTTTGCATGATGCATGCCTTAGCTGATATGTCAAGATTGCTGTGATGGGACTTTGAATCATGTTTCTCATTGTGCTGCTTAAGTTTTAATTCTCATTGTATTCACCACTCAATCAGGTCATCCCTGAGTAGCTACTGCGGGCGATATTACAAAAAGCGGGAAAGGTACAGAATGCATTGACAGAAACTCACGGTAACAAATCCCACAGCAACAATTGACCACATACTTTGGAAGATTTAAACTCTCAATTTAATGGGTAAGGTGGAAATCTAGTATTCCCAAATATATCTATTTATTGAAGGGTATTCAGTGGAGGCAAATATTATGTATACATGGCAACAGCTGACTTGTTCTGGTCCAGGTATAGGATTGTTTTGGTTAATCTATAAATTCTTTTTTCCTCACTTCTAGCAAAGCTAATACAAACCCAGTCCTACTTAGAAGAATTGTTAAGAAAATCAAATGAGGTCAAGGCCCATGAAAGGTTTTGAAAATTATAAAGTTCTTTGTAATATAGCAAGCAATATTCATTGTGAATTTACTCTGTGGCATATTATCTTATTTAGTCCTCAAAACATTACACTGAGCTTGTTTTTAGCCTCATTTTGCAAGAAAAGAAACTGAGCCTAAATGACGTTCAGTGTTATGTCCATGATTGAATCACTAGTAAATGATGTAGCTAGGATTTAACCTGACAGGCAAATCCAGAATCAACTGGGTCAACCATATCCTAAACTGCCTCCTGTCTGTAAAGAGTAAGTTGCTGTTTCTAACAATGTTTAAAGGAACGTTCTTTGCTCCTAAGGGTGTGAGGCAGCATGGTTCTTGTGTTGCTCTGCACAGCCCTGTGTAGCCAGAAGAGGGGGTGACAAGCACACATCAGAGCAAGTTCACCAAGACTTTTGACCTTAGTCATTAATTACTGTTGTGTTCTTCACATTTTCCTCCTCTCTTAGCACCTGTTGCTGACAGTTGCGTGTTCTCTTTTACAGATGGAAAGTAGAATATTAGGGACCTAGAAAGACTCCTAGTCACTTTGCTCCAGCAATCTGTAAAAAGGTATAAATGGAACATGGATATTATAAACGCGCTGTTGTGAGTAGATTGGTAGTTGCCAGGGGAAATGATGAAAAGTGGTCAGAGGATACCAACTTCCAGTTATAAGATGAGTAAGTCCTAGGGATCAAATATACAGCACGGTGACTGTAGTTAACAATACTAAGTCTTGTACACTGAAAGTTGCTACGAGAGTAGATCTTAGAAGTTCTCACCACAAAGAAAAAGAAGATAACTTTTTGAGGTGATGTGTTAATTAACCTTATTGTGGTAATCACTTCATGATAGTCATGCGCCACATAACATTTCAGTCAATGACAGACCGCATACACAATGGTAGTCCCATAAGATTAGTACCACACAGCCTAGGTGTGAGGTAGGCGATGCCATCTAGGTTTGTGTAAGTGACTCTATTATGTTTGCACAATGAGGAAATTGCCTAACGACACTTTTCTCAGAATGTATCCCTGTCGTTAAGCGATGCATCACTGTGTATACATATATCAAATCATCACATTGTCCACCTTAAACTTACACAATGTTTGTCAACTACATCTCAATGAAGCTAGGAAAAAGTAAACTTCACCAAAGTATTAAAAAATGCTGTTAAAATGTAATGAAATCCATTGAATTTTAAAGTAATTTTGTTTTTGTTTAATTAAACTTACAAGTATCAAACCAGACCTCCAAATTTTGCCATTAGGCTAATTATTCTGAGGTTGGTATGTCATCTCTATTTTGTTTACAAATAAATAGCAAATATAATGCCACATGTATAATGATCAAATCTTAACCTTAACTAGTTTAAGGAAAAGAACTAGAAAAAGAACACATATAGTCCACTTCTAATTAAAAGGAATGGGTGAAAACATTTATAAGTTGTTTCTAAGTTTTCTTTATATAGTTTTAAAAGTTTGTCTCTTTTTATTCTAGCCTTTCAAGAATACAAATTAGTTTTTAGTACACCTATAATGTCAACCAATTGCAGTATTATTCCATTTGCAGTGTGAATATAACCTCAGGAACAAATCAAAAATTATTTGAGACTGTCACTAGGTATCAGTATCAAGTGTCCACTTTCAAACATCATAGCGGTAAAAAAAGAGAACAGGTGGAACAGAGGAGGAAAATAGTAAAGGGCATTCTGTAACTGTCTCTAAAATTATATTTTGAATTATATGCTGGAAAACTGGATAATGTCTTTGCAAAGTAAAATGCAGTTCGGAAAGGAATAGATATGGTCACCAATTAAAGTGAATAGCACTTTTAATTTTAAAGATAATGAAATCTTTGCAAGACAAGGAGACCACAAAGTGACAGTGCCAAATTTAGCCTCTCGACATTTTAGTGCTGCAAATGAACCCCCTGGCAAGTTGTCTTTAGAAGTCGTTTCATAATTACCCAGCATTAAACCATCTGACTCATGGAAATTGTGGAAAGGATTATATTTAGTCTGCTGATATTACACTTTCCCCTGCTTCTTTTCACACTGAAA